GTGTGTGTGTGTGTGTGTGTGTGTGTGTGTGTGTGTGTGTGTAGAGAGAGAGAGAGAGAGAGAGAGAGAGAGAGAGAGAGAGATGTTTCTTAACAATTACAGAGAGAAATAAGAGATGGATGGATATAGTCAACGATTTGAATATACTTCATGGATTCTCATCCTTATCATTTCAGGAAGCCTATTTAAACCCTCTCAGTGAGAGAAAGGAGAGGACAAAATTAATACGCACCCATTTCCATTTTGTGCATGCACATGAATAGTGCACATTGAGTGGTTTGCGAAGTGCACGGTACACAATACACAAGACTGAGTACTAAGTGCGATTTATGTAGTGCTCCATGCGCATGTGTTTTGGGGAACATAGTACACATTGCACTGTGAGCGGGTGCACAAAGCTTGTCATAAGTGTGGGCAATGCGCCTACACTTTTTACATGAATAGTGCACATTGAGTGATTTGCGAAGTGCACGGTGCATGGTGCACAGTGCACAAGACTGAGTATTAAGTGCAATTTATGTAGTGCTCCATGAGAAGGGTTGGCAATGGGCCAAGCAGCTTTCCTGCCCTTAAAAAAGTTGGGCCTGAGCCACAAACCGTGGCCCAAGCGCCAAACTAAGGCTAGTGCCAGCCCAATTCGGCCTGGCCCTCTTTTCTTCTGTTAGAGGGAGAGATGGGTGTCTTACAAGTTGGATGTTACCAGTGAGAGAGAGAGCATTAGCGAGAGGGCAAGGGATGAGAGATATGGGTGTTTACAAGTTGGGGATTTTACCCTTTTTAGAGCGAGATGAGAGTATGAGTGAAGGGACAGGAGAGTGCAAAAAAAGAGGCTGGGCCCCAAAAGTTTAAAACTATAAACCAAAACTCCCATGAGCAAAAAAAAATTAGTCCAAACCAATTTCTTTTTTAGTGTCGTTTTGGACTGGAAACAGAGGCACTTTTGGATGCGAGCCAAAATTTTTTGTTCGCCCAAACTGTTCAAAGACTTGTGCGGCAGATTATTGGCTTGTCATTAAAAATTCTTACGAAGTTATGATTTTTGGTCCATCCAAACTCTTACTAAGCTTTTTTATGCAAGAAATCAACTGGTTTTCATCGCTTCGTTCATCATTATTTTCATCATTGAATCGACCTGGAAAACTGTATTTATAAATTTTTTTCCCTCAAAAAGTATGAGCTTGCATGTTCACTCCCTTTTCCTTTCCATAAACGTTTCTTGTCCTTTGTGTTCATGTGAGTATTTTATTTCTTATTTCTATTGCAATTGTCTCTTAAGAGTGATTCAAGTGGAGAAGATGAAGGTAAAGATCCAGAAGCTGAAGAGATTGACTCGGAAGATGAGGTACTTATAAATGTTTACAAATTTTTTTTCCCTCAAAAAGTATGAGCATGCATGTTCACTCCCTTTTCCTTTCCATGAATGTTTCTTGTCCTTATGTTCACATGAGTATTTTATTTCTTATTTCTACTGCAGTTATCTCTTAAGAGTGATTCAAGTGGAGAAGATGAAGGTAAAGATCCAGAAGCTGAAGAGAGTGACACCTTGGAAGATGAGGTACTTATAAATGTGTTTTTTTGTTTCATAAATTCTTGCATATACAATATTGTCTCCTAAGTTTATGTCTTTCTAGTACCTTTCAAGTGGAGATGATGAAGGGAAAGATGCATCTGCAGCGAGTGAGTCTGCGGAAGTTGAGGTACATAAGATACTGTTACTTTTGCCCTTATTTTTCACAAAATTTGCTCAGATTTTTGTGTTCTATTTTTCTCCAATCTTATATTCACTATAAATGAACTGTGCCTTTTGTGTCTCTATACTTGAGCACCTTTTATTTTTACCAGAGTTTACTAGGATAACATTATTCTTCTAAACTTTGTTTCTTCTAAAGTTATGAGCCTGCATGTTAAATCCTGTACCTTTTCTGTAACTGCTTTGTCTTTTTTTCATCATTTAAGAAATGTAATTTGTATTTCTTTGGGGATCACCCCTTTTTTGGGTTTCTAAAGAATGATTCGAGTGGAGAAGATGAAGGTGAAGATCTGAAAGCTGAAGAAAGTGACTCTTCGGAAGATGAGGTACATAGAATTGATCGTTTCTGTTTCGCAAAATTTCATATAGCCATTTTTCACCTCTAATACCATTTTTTTTTATTTTAGGTCTCACCAAGGAATACAATAGGGAATGTTCCTCTTGAATGGTACAAGGATGAGGAACACATAGGATATGATAGAGATGGGAAGAAGATTAAAAAGAAAGCTAGGAAGGATATGCTTGATGCCTTTCTTGCAAGTACTGATGATTCAAAGAACTGGTAAGCTTTTTTGCAGTTCATATTGGTTGTATGAATTGGCACATCTTTTTTTAAAGGGAGAGGGCAAAATGAGTTCTTGCAACTTGTTTCCTTAACCAAAGCTGATTCTTGCTGTAAATCTGTTTGTAAACATGTTTAACTCATTGATGATTAATGGCTTTGATATTGTGGTGTATGTTGACCCATGAAAGCTGTTGTTGAGAGATGCTTGGGCTACACCTCTTTATGTTATTTTTTTCCTTTCGAAATATTAAATGAATATTTGCAAAATAGAAGGGTTTCATGTCTCTATTGTTTATTCTTTGACATGCATGAGATTTGTGTAGGCGAAAATTATATGACGAGTACAATGATGAAGAGATAGATTTGACAAAAGACGAGATAAAGATTATTCGTCAATTGTTAAGAGGAAAAACCCCACATCTTGAAGTTAACCCATATGAGGTTTGGAATGGGTTTACTGATTTTCTACAGTTCCTTCATTGTTTGAAGAAAATTGTATTTTGGTTATTTTACTTTTCTTTTTTATTAATCTGATTCAGATGCTTCTATGCAATCGCTCCCTCATTTTTGGTTTTCTTCATAAATTCATTCAGCCTTATGTTGATTGGTTCACCTGGGATGGAAAAGGGCATCCGTTATCAAATGCTCCAGAGCCCAAGAGGCGTTTTATTCCTTCGAAATGGGAACATAAAAAGGTACATCTAGTGTTTTCCTTATTACAGATGTTGTCATTGGTAGAACTGCATGTTACTGGTCACTGGAGACATAACTTACAGGATCCTTGTGTTATTTTTTGACCTTTAAATAAATGTTGAGAATTTCACTTCCTCAGCACACTGGCCTTTTAAAAAAAGAAAATCATACCTCATTTTAGTAAAGTTTCTTATCTTCTTGAAGTATCCTAAGGAAGAATTTCTAGATCATATTTTTATTTATGGGGTACACTGATCTTTATTTTATTAGTCTTTTTAATTTACATGTAAAGAGGTTGAGTATAACTTGTATAAGTCGACGCCAAACCTTGAGTATTTGATCATGCTGAATCTTCACTATGCTGTGTCCTTTATTTTGTGTTCCATGTTTATGATTAGTGAAATTCAAAGTGGCAAGGTGATGATTTTGTGTCCTCTCTTTACTTGGGTTCTCGGCTCTGCCCATTCTTCTTTCTAAGTGGGCAGGGATCCTGTGATGCAAATAGATGGAAGTCAGTTTGTGGGTGCTGGCTTAGAAAATTGATGGGTGTCTTGCTTTGACTTGTAGACACATTTCTGCATTACAATTATCAATTGGAAAGCTTTGAGAAACTCTCACGAAAGTGGGAGTCTTCACTGATATTGATGCAGCCCACTTTTGTCTTTTTTGGTACATCAGATTTTGAATGGAAGTCTGGAACCAGGAACTGTAGAATTTATATTCACATGTGGAACTGACAGATTTGTTTACTCGAAGTTTAGATTGGAATTTCAATTTATGTTAATGTGGATTGAGTATGAAATGGTATTATTACTCGAATTAGAAATAAATATTGGTTTGACTACTTGGTGTGACTGAGTTTAACTTATGCTTCCTTGGATAGCTCTGAAGGTTGTGATTCTCCTTAAGATGATGGTCCTTGGATTCTAAGTATGCCAAAAGCTTGAGAAGTTCACAATAGCGTAAACCTATGAGTTTTTTTTTTTATACTGTTGACTGTATTGATAAGGTGTAGAGATTACAAAAAATGGAACACCCACAGACTAGGTGTTCGAATATCAAAACCCCTTATGAGTTCCAAAAAATGCTATACAAGGTGTACAGCCATATATATAAGCTGAGTCACAGACACTGTAGAAAACTCAAAACAAGATTCTATCTAGTCTTCAAAGAGGTGCTCAAGAGTCACCTCTGAGGCTTTTGATGGGGATACTTAGATGACAAATCATTCCGTCAGGGGTGACATGCATTGATTAAGCTCACCATGAGCAGAATGTTCTATGGTGACTTTATGGATATACATTTTGGAACAACTGTTCTTTTTCCAATAATTATTTTTTGCCATCACGAAATGATAGCCTGGGCAGCATAATAGATTTTTGTCATTATTTATTATTGATTTTACTTAGTAGTTGGATTGCATTCTGTGTTTACTGGTTTGCAGTTGCAATTGAGTTGTTTGTTTGACTTATTTATTTACTTGTTTCAGGTTGTTGAGTATATCAGAAAAATTCGGAAAGGGTTAATAAAATTTGAGAAAAAGAAGGAAGAACTGCGGTTTTATATGATATGGGATAATGAGTCTGCACCAACGGAAAAAGCATCACAAAGATTAAGTCATATTCAAGCACCAAAACAAAATTTACCTGGTATAATTTTGAAGAAATCTTATTATGCAACTTGTCAATACAGTTTATTCATCTTTTCATATTCTTTTTTCTCTTACATACATTCTAAATTGTGAAATTTAGAACCAACTAATTTGTTATCTACCTTGAAAATATAGATATGTCTGGAGGAATCCTTTTCGTTGTTTCCAAATTATTATTTCGATTGAGGAAAAATTCCAACATCATTATTTTATAGTAGTCGTCTAAATGTTATTTTTTAATTTTCTGGTGTACCCTATAATCTTTAGGCAAGACGATGCTTTCCCTTAATGTTCATTTAAGAATCAGAAGGTCTAACTTCTATATCTGCTGTTTATGTGTAGGCCATGATGAGTCATATAATCCATCCATGGAATATATTCCTACTCAAGAAGAGATCAACTCTTACCAGTTGATGTATGAGGAAGATCGACCCAAGTTTATTCCAAGACGGTATTGTTGCTCTGACTCACAACTTCTGAATGTGTACATTAAGACCCAAATCCTAAAGGTTATGACTGGATTAGTATTAAATGTCTCTTGTGCATATGGCAGGTATGAACGATATAGAGTTATTCCGGCGCATGAGAAATTGCTAAGGGAATTTTTTGACCGTTGCTTAGATCTATATTTGTGTCCAAGGTCTAGGAAAAAGCGGGTGAGTTCGGAGCTAGCTGAAAGCTTAACGGTCATTTATTTTATTTACTCTATTTATGCTTTCATAAGACCATTATATGTGTCAATGAGGATAGGTCAGATTGGTTGCATTACAGTCTCATTGCACAAATTTAAGAAACTGAATGGTTGTCAGTAAATATTTATCTTATTTTCTTTTTCTAACCCACCACTGAATTTCTTTCTGTATTTTGACCTCTGTTTCAGATTAATATCGACCCGGAATCCTTGAAGCCTAAGCTTCCGAGCCCAAAAGATCTCAAACCTTACCCGGTGACTTGTTTTCTTGAGTACCGAGGTCATAGTAGTTTTGTTCTTTCAATTTCCATGGAAGCATCAGGCCAATGGATTGCTTCTGGTTCGGTTACTAAGACCTGGATACTTATCTTTTTGTTACACTGCAAGTAGCTGTTTCCATTTTTCTTCCATTGCATTCATTTATATTTTATGATTGACTTCGACATTTTGATGGTAAAAGGTTCAAGCGATAGAACTGTGCGTGTTTGGGAGGTGGCAACTGGTAGATGCTTTAGAGTTTGGGAGTTTGATGTACCAGTGCAGCATGTTGCATGGAATCCTCGGCCTGAACTCCCAATATTAGCTGTTGTCATGTCGGTTATACTCCTTTTTTCCTCATTCAGCTTGCTTCTAAAATGTGATGCATTTTACCCTTATCAAAAGAAAATAATGTGTTCCATATGCCGGACTATCACATTTCATCTGAACTTGGTTTTATGTACCTTGAAGGGGGCAAGAGGTGCTTGTTTTAAATTTAGGGCTAGGAACTGCAGAGGAACAAGAAAAAGTTAAAGAACTATTGCATGTTGAAGCACATTCTGTTCCAGATGACAATGGTATGTTAAACTTTTGATGTGTCTAATCTTTTGGTGACCTTTTAGTTATGTATTTGTTTAATCAAATAGGTGCAAATGTGTAGGTGAAAACCAATCTGTTGTGAGTTGGTCTCAACATGACAAGCATGATGGTATCAAATTGAAGCATTTCAAGGTATTTATGCTTTTCTTTCTCAGGAACTCATGGGAACCCTGATTTCCTTTTTTATCAATTGATTTCAGTGAAATTTGCATGCCATTTGACATAGTTTCATGTGTTGTTGCAGACTGTATCTTTGGTTGCCTGGCAGTGTAAAGGAGATTACTTCACAACAGTTGTACCAAGTGATATCCTTGAAATATTATACTCCATGACAAATATACACGTATCAAAAATTTTTATGTCAGACTCTTTAAAACATGTTTAACATGTGTCAATAGTTCAACACAATTTTATTTTTGGAATTTTTTTTTAGAATGCATTATCTAATTTTAGTTTAAAGTGGTTTCACCTAATTATGAGTGACAAAACCTCTCTTTTCATTTGAGAGGCTTTCTTTTGAAACTTCCTTTTTTGCTAATCGTTCTTTTGAAAATTTGTTTCTTGTCTAAACATTTTTAACTGCTTGTTTATGAATCAGGATGTCCCTTCTTCCCTTGATTGTTAAGATGTACTTCTGGTCTAAATTTTTTTCTGCCGCGCTTGCATCTTTTTAACTCGTAACACTTGAATTATAATATTTTATTGTGAGGAACTATCATGATTTTGAAGTTAGATTTCAGTCTTTGGCTTCACAGTATGCAGTTTCTGGTCATGAGAATAGCTGCACAAGTTCATCTCCGCACCTGAGACGGTTATTCTGGTCCTGCCTCTTTGGCTCCTTTCGTTTTCCAATTGGCCAAAATCAATGGCTTATGGTTCATTTGAAAATTGTGAACTGGGAACTGGGGACAACTCATTCATGGGGTCTGGGGACAACTCATTCAATGGCCTCCTTGCTGCACATGTATAAGCCAATCTATCAATGGAATACACTCTTTGGTCTTGATAACCCATTACGACTAATACGTTTGCTTCCAATATTTTTATCTCAAGTCTCTTAACAGATCTTTCACCCCACAAATTTTCTCCTTCTTATTAGAGGCCATTCATCTGGAAAATGTTCTTTAAAATTTTAAATATTCTCAGGGCTATCTGTATCAGGACCTAGGGGTTTGTTTCAGGTGGGGTTGAAGGGGTCCTTTTTTGAACTGGATATGGTAGTGATTTAATAACTTGAAATGCCATCTGGTTGTTTTGTTGTCTGTGAAATTATAGCTGATACGCTATTTTGAATACTTGACATGTCAAAGGACTCAGATGTATTAAGTGATTGTTTCCCGTGCTTCCTGACTTGTCATCATCATGTTCATGGAAAAACATTTATAGAGAGCTTCAATTAAGTTGTGTTTGGGGAACACAAAGTTGTAGATGACCAACCATTGAGTGTATTTTTTTCTCTGGCTTAAATTCATTCTTCTTGGAAACCATTATTGTAGGGCATCCCCAAATTGGAGAAGGTCCTTATTAACTTGTTTTCTTCTTGAGTATTATTGTTTCTATCCTCATTTATGTGCCAACTTGTTTAATCGATTTCCTCACTCTGGCATTCCTTAATTTATTTTTGCACGTGATTCTAGAGCAATAATGTTGCACCAGCTATCGAAGAAGCAAACACATATTCCAATCAGGAAGTTGCATGGACTTCCTGTTTCTGCTATTTTCCATCCTTCTCGTCCAACGTTCTTCATTGCAACCAAGAGGGTTGTTCTTGTTTATGATCTTAAGAAAATAAGGCTTCTTAAGAAGTTGCAAACTGGGCTACGTGAGATATCATCCCTTGCAATCCATCCTGGAGGTAAATTCTTCTCAATTTTCATGGGTTGGTTTTTATAGATTGCATTTTATTTATAGATTGCCATCCATATAGGTGACAATCTGATCATCGGGAGCAGAGAAGGAAAACTATGTTGGTTTGATTTGGATCTTTCTTCGCAAGCATACAAAACATTGAAGTAAGAAGGAAGCTTTGAAATAGTCCTCGTTCATTTGGTCAACTATCTACTTTTAACTTCCCATTCATACCATATGTTTTTAAAATATTCACTCTCACTGTATCGGGGTCGCAAATTTTCAGGAATCACTCGAAGGACATTCTGAATGTGGCCTTCCATCGTTCCTATCCTCTGTTTACATCATGCTCTGATGACTGCACAGCCCAGGTTTTTCATGGTATGGTTTACTCAGATCTGAACCAGAACCCTCTTATTGTTCCACTAAAGGTTTTGCAAGGGCATAAGAGCGTGGATGGTCGAGGTAAGCATTAATTTTCCATTTTATGGTTATGCTCATTTTCCTCTGTCACAATATTTTTTTGTGGACTATGATCCATCTACTAACTTCTTTATTCCTTAAGAGTTGAGCTTATGTTTCATTGCTATTGATCTGGAATAAGTTATTTTCACTTTTTTAGTTGCCTTTGGTTCCGTTTGAGTACTTGGGTTTGAACCTATTAAATGCTAAGCATCTGAGTAGTTCTAAAAATCTTGATAAAAATAGTGCTTTTTGTAGTCATTGTATGGTAGTTGCTAGTTCCATTTCTTGTGAATGACATGTTTTTGCAGCAGTTTGTGAAGACACAACTTAGAGTAGGAGTGCTTTTAACAATGTGGATTCTATTTATCTTTATCTTTATTTGATTTTCATATATAAGGATAGGTATTAAGTTTGGGGCTAGGAATTGTCACTTGTCACAAATATGAATAATTAGATATATACCGTTTTGGGGATGCTGATGTTGTTGGGAAATCAATCTTGCATGAAGACTACAATGCTAATTAGAATGTTCTTTGCATACTTGCTTTGGAAATCATTTTTCATGACTAATTGAGTTCATTTTTCCCGTATCTGGTTTTCAATTTTTTTTTTGACCTTTATGATTGAATTTCATTTTGCTCGCTGGACTCTATTTGATGTTATTTCTTCACAAAAAATCACTTGAATTTGTATGGGTAAGTTATACATATGCATATATCTTGGAGTGCTTCATTTGTAGTTGTATGGATTTCGTATGAGGAGATTACGGAGATTACCTTATTGCTTCCAGTAAAATCTCATCCTTGAACCTTCTATAGAAAGAAAGCAGTAAACTGTTTTCTGTTGTATCCCTTGGCAGTCAACCCATTTCATTTCTTTGGTGATCCCACCATTGCTATTTAATGTTGAACTAATGTTGTGACAGTGTATAAACGTTTCTCGTCTTCTAGAGGGGTATGTGGGTGCAAATCAATTGATTGAAAATTTAGGTTCAGAATTCTAACCCTGCAATGTTATAATACAGTAGACAATTGTAGCAAACTATACAATGATTAGCGGTTCAATACCAATATGAAATATGATTGTTATTGTGCTGTTATTTTCCTGCACAAACCTGCACAAACTGTTGCTCATGTGCTCTAATTTTGAATGGCTGCTGAAAGCATTGGTTAAGAACTTGTTACAAGTCGGAAACACTGGCCAAGTCAACTCGACTTGGCCAAATTTCTGAGCTTTGTAATTGAAAAACTTAGTTCCACCCAAGATTTTATCATTTTCTTGTCTTATTGTTATGTAAATGATATTTGGAGTAATAGGAGTGTAGTATAGCATGGTGGCGACCTAGGCTCAAAGCTCGCCATGGATATTCTGTGTTCTTTTCTTACTCCTTGCAAAATCCAAAGAACTTGCCCAAGTGTTTTGTGTGTTAGCTTTTAAATTGGCGAGTCGACTCGGTTTGGGCAGTGACCAACTAAGCCAAGTTTTTGCTTAATTCGGAGCACTGGTTGAAAGTATGTCTGTTGCACATATACATGTACTCAAGCATATTTTTCTTGACCAAGGATTTCCTGTAATTGTTGTTTTGATCATATCTACGTGGGTCTTTATAGTTAAGGGATTTAATCCCTCATTCTGGATTAATGTTCAGGTTTATGTAAATTTGATATCAATCTCTTCAAAAAAAAGACAAAACTTGATGGTTTAAGTAGAGGCTGACTTCCCGACTACATGAGACGTCATTTGCTTATATTAAAGCTTTTTTACTTGTTTCCTGCTTTGTAATCCCAATCTGGAAGCGCTTAAGGGAAAGGTTTTTATACTTCCCCTACGGCATAGAAGATCTATGCTTCCCCTATCATCCAGCTGTTCAATTTTGATCATCGTTTGATCTTAGATCCAACTTCTCAAAGTATTTTATTTTTAGTTTTTTTTATACAAATTGTATGAATATGAAATTTGGTACGTTCCATCTTCTCATTGGGGCGCACCTATAAAAAATATTAAAAACAATATAATGACCAAAATACCCTTTGAAACTTTCAGGGGTATTTTGGTCATTTTATTTTATTGAAAATATTTTTTTAATATTTTTCGCTAGTGCGAGTTTAATAGAGGATTTGACGTGCAAAATTTGGTGTCAAAATAGTTTATAGAAATAAAAATAAAAATAAAATAGCGTAGAGACGTGACATTGTGATTGGGGCAATCTTAACGCTCCATTCAGAGTAGACAGTTGGATAAGAGGAAGTATATAAGTTTTATGCTGTAGGGGAAGCATAGAAAACTTGCCTAGTTCTTAAAAAGAACAACATTTTTAGCAAAAGACACCTCTGAATTGGATTCAAATTAAACCTAGAGTTTTGGAGTCGTCGTCTTTGTTGTTGTTGCTGCTGTTGTTGTCACTATTATTAATATTAGGGAAATTTATCCAAATATCCGTGAGAGATAAACTATTAAACATTATAAGCATTAGCAACTATTCCAATGCAAGATCTTGTGTTCTTTTATCAGTATTTGAAATTAAATGAAAAGATATAGGTAGAATGTTAAATAGTTAATCTCTTATGGGTATTTTGATAAATTTCTCTTATTATTATTATCATTTATCAAAAAATTCGGACGCTAAATTTGTTATTTGGATGTTTTGCTGATAGACCACTTGCTGAAAGAAAAAATTGCCAAAATATTTTAAAATTTCAAATGATGACTATAATCTATGAAACAAAAATGCTAGCCCAAATTTCCGTTTGCAGTATGGCAATGTCCTGAGAGAAAATGGAGTTGGTTTAGTTTTTTATGCACTTTTATCTCTTGTAGCGGGTTCACTTATCTAAAAGTGTCATTCTGTTGTATTATTTGCTGTGTAGGAGTTATGGACTGTAAGTTCCATCCCAAGCAACCATGGTTGTTTACCGCAGGAGCTGACTCAGTTATCAGGCTGTACTGTGACTAATTCGTATTGCACACTTCCAACTGTGAGCGAAGAGGAAATTTTTGGCTGTCGGAATTCACATCCTGTTTCTTATGCCATCTTTATGTCGTTTAATCTCGAGAGAGGGAGAGCGGGTGCAGAATGTCCCTTTCCTAGCCATTGTTGAGAGAGAGAGAGAGAGAGAGAGAGAGAGAGAGAGAGCTACT